ACTCCAGGGAAAACCCTGGTTGATGTAGGTTGGCGCCGCGCGCGCAAAGCGACCCCACCAAGATCCAAAGATTCCCTGCCTCCAACCAGAAGGTCTCAAAGAATTTAGTGAAATCTAAAAATTAACAAAAGTAGTTACTCAGAAAATAGAATTGAGGAGTTTTACAAATTAGGAGATTTAGGAATGACGAATGAAGATAAAAAGTACAGAGATCATTTTTTGCAAATTAATATTAAAATGTGGACGAAAAAAACAAAAACGCTGTAGAAATCTAATGATAGCTATTGAGTATAGCGGGAATTTAAACTTCAAAAGCAGCTGGATAGTCTAATTTATGAAGCTTAAAAGTCTTTCCAATCATCTAGAGGTTTTCTCCAGCAATCAAACAAATTTCGGTGGTTTCAGTCCCACCTTCTATAAAAGTAATTTTTTGGGTTTCAATAATATACTTTGCGTGTTTGTTTTTTCTTTATTTTTAATTATATTTAGCTATTACTATATGTATACATTTTCCATTTTATATTAGTTAAGTGTTAATCTTTTGAAGACAAAGATGTTAAGTTTTTTCGTCTCATTCTTGCATGCAATAAAATGTTTGTGCAAATTTATTTTGATAAAATACAATATTGACTACGTTTTTTTTTTTTTGTTTTCGAAATTTAAATGTTACCTAAATATTTCGGCTAAAATTGTTGGCTAGTACATAGTACCTTAAACTAATTATCGAATAATTAAAAATTTTACTTTTGGATTGCAAAAAAATATTGACAACTTTTTTAATATTAAAGGCTTTTCTAGGTTTCACTTTCTGAAAATATTTCTACGGGTGCCTTTGGGTTTTGTTTCAAGTATTTTGTTAAGTAAAATGCAGATTCATAAGGTTACGTAAGTATTTTTCCATTTAATATCAGGGAAAAAAGAAGTGTAAAAGAAAACTTATGTATGCTAGTAATTTGAATATTTTTAAATTTTCTTTATTGTCTCAAGTATTACAATTAATTTTATTATTCCAATAAGTTAATTTTCATTATAAATATACAGATTCTTATATTCTTATTATGTCTTATTCGTCCAAATGACACTTCAACTTCAAGCCGTTTAAATTTATTAAATTCTAATTCCGAAACATTTTAAAACCAACTATTGATAATGATAATTATTTCTTAACCTCTTTATTAAGTACGAACTTAGTAACTCTTAAACACGATCATTTTTAAACACTATTTTTTTTAAAACTCTTTTATATTAATTTTCTATAGAAGAAAATATTCCAAACTTTATAAATTAAAAATTAGCATTTATCAGTTATAGGGATCATGAAGCCATGTTCGTCAATAAATAAAACAGGGTCAAGTTCTTATCTACATAGGTCATCGTCAACTGACAATACATGTAGGTGCATCAAATTATAACAATACCACGTATATTATACATAGTGATAATTTCTGAACACGATTGAAAAGGGAGAATTGGGCATTTGTACTTCAAGAAGGAGGTCACAGATACCCGCACATGTGGGGGGACCTATGACGTCAACGCCAGATGATCGCTTATAAGCAATATGGCGTGTTAAAGTTGAGCTAAGATTCTATCTATAAGTGTCTATCTTTCACTTCTTCAACTACCCCATTAAGCTTTTTTTTTTTTAATTAATTTTTTTTTGCTTTAAAACGAATTGTTTACTGTTTTAGGTATGTGTATTCTTTTAACTTATAGGAAATTTTTCCCAGTTAAAGTTCGTTTAATTTTGACGGGAAAAAATTACTAAGTTCATTGGCTCGCAATAGAAAGTTTTAATTGCTCACAAAATGAAAATTACTTAATGCAATTTAATGCACAGATTAATTTTAACCACAGAGAAATATTTATAGGTATAGTTAAGATTTTAACAAAGCTGATAATTTATTTTAACCATCAAAAGTGTCATTGAGCCAATTAGAATACTTTTCTTGTTGTTTAAATTGTTAGAATATGTTCTTTTGAACAGATTACTTACAAATTCATCACAATGCCATAGTTGGGCAAATTTGAGAAATACCCCAATACGCCCAACATCTTAAAGTGCGTATATATAACCAACTTCACTCTATACTACTGCAATTAGAGTATTCTCTCGAATTTTGAATGTACAATCTCGAAGTACTTGAAATGCTACTTATTTAAAAAGGTGAACCAGAGGGTCACTTGAGGCGTTTTGGTCAAAATCAAATTAAAATTTACTCATTTACAGCTGATATAGCATAATACATTTTGCACATTNTTGGTGAAAAAATACTACCGTAGTATTAAAAATACTACGTCTGGCAACCCTGAAGTTACTATGAATTTCTTGTTTTTCAGTGTTACCAACAAATATCGAAAGAAGAATTTAATTTTAATTTCAAAGCTTATGTAAAAAAATATTGATAAAAGGTGGACTTATTCACAATGGCTTCTGAAATTATTATACAATATATTCAGAAGCTATTAAAAAAAGGGCTGTCTAACCTAGAAAAAAGTAACCAACGAGTAAATCCTTTAATAACTAAGAAGATTATTATTTATTTCATCAAAATTTCCAAAAATCAGAAAATATCAAAAAATGGACTTAACCGCATTGGCTTTTGAGCGGCTCATATAACGACACAATGAAAGATGGAAGAACCGGATAAGTGATATTTTCAAAGGAATTAATGAATCAGATGAAATAACCTAAAGTGGTGGCGTCAATAAGAGTATGTTTAATGTAATAAAGCAGCAGAAAACATTGTTTTATAATTTGCCCAGTCATCATAGACATTTGCTGAGAAACTTTTAACTTCTTTTTTTTTTGGAATCTGTTAAGAATAATGCTGGTTTCCTAACTTAGAAAATTTTTCTTGATTTAATTTTTTTTAAACATTCTCTACGGATTCCACATCACAAAATAAGCACGAAAATTGTTTTATGTTCATGAATAAAAAATCATTTTGAACTTACAATTAATCACTTAATAAAACCACTTTTATATATTCCATGAGCAATACAAAGCAATGCGCAAGCAGTGAGCTATTCAAAGCTTAAAAATTTAAACTTTTACTGGGTGTTTCGTAAATACTGTCCATAATATACATTTTAAAAATCCTCATAAGCAGTCAAGACAAAAAATAATGCAAATTGGGGTTCATAAATTAATGCTTAAGAGATGAAAAAACGCTATTGAAATCTGACAAATAACAATGAAGGAAGGCTGAGGTACAGAATATAGAAACTTGTACGATTGCAGTTTGAAAATTGAAGAGGTATTTCTACTTATTATATTTAAGCTTCTTTCTGTTTCCTTCCGCTATCAAAAAAGTTTTTGTGTTTCTTACACCCAACGTCCTCTACTGTACTTTTGTACTTCTGTTATTTTCTTGGAAAAATATTTTCCAAGTAAACAAGCATTTCGGTCATCTTTTTCGAAAAGTATTCTATAACCATACATTAAAGAGCGATTTTTTATGGAACAATCAGCTTAAAAAATAAGTCTAGCCTCTTTATCTGTTTAATAAACCCGTTTAAAAAGAAATAGAAAACTTGAAAATTTTGCATTTTACTTAGATATTCATTTTGTATTTCATTTCTAATGTGTTTTTTTTTATTTTTTAGACAAGACTACGAGAAAATATGGTCGCATTTCCCTAATGCTGTACTAAAAATAATCGATGGTGCAACGCATAACGTTCATATTGATCAACCGGAGAAGTATAAAGATATAGTATTAAGCTTTTTGTTAAAGAATCAAAAAGCTAAGTATTAAAAGAATACTTTGTCAGCCCTTGCAAATTTATATTTTAGTGTATTTTCTCTACCATAGAACACAGAAAAGTTATCATTGAAATAATAAGGTCATTAAAGAAGCAAGGTGACTGAAATTGAAGAATCCCGCAAATTCTTAAATTTTAAGTTGTNATTTTGTGATAAAAATGATAAATGAGGTTTATATATTGTCAATACATTGGTTATTCTCATTTACACCTGAAAAAATAGCCAAAAAACACAATTTTTGTAACTGGGCGGGGCTACCCGACAAATTTTGAAAAGAGCTAAGAAACATGTTTTTTTTTTATTTCTATTTTTTTAAGTTTAATTATTCTTTTTTTGGTTTATTCTCTTTGCATTATTTAATTAGATGATAAAACAATAGAAACATACAAAAATGTTGATTATTACTCAGTATTATACAGAAATATGAGCAAAACTCCTTAAGTGAGCGGGGCTACCCGACTCTCCCCTACTATTTTTATAATTATTGAGAGTTTGAAGCAGTTATTCATGATTGTTTGGATCAAATTTCTCTTACCTCTAACCAGCGCCCTTTAAGCTAATTCTCAAAATGAAGCGAGATGTTAATATAAAGAAAAGTCACGATTCTGTAAAAATGAAAAGTGTTTGTAATCTAATTACTTTATATCTAAAAATATACACCAACACTGCATTATCTGGATTCAAAACATTTGCAAAAATAGAGAAATAATAATTTACTAGGAGGCTTCGCCCCCTGCTCGCTGGCGCTCACCAACCCCAGGAACTGCTTTCACAGTTCATTTCGGATTGCTTCGCAATCCAATGCTCGCTTTTCTCGCTCATTGGATACGTTCTTAACGTCTAGTTTTTGTATACTTCTTTGAATACTGTAGTTCCGAAAACTTTTCACTGTAGAAAATTCTGAACCTGTACATTTCAATACTAATTTGAAATTGCAAACAGTTCACGTATTTTTTTTAATCACACTATTCTAAATTTCAGTTGTTGAGAAAAGTAACTGTTGTAAGTTTTGTTTTAAAGTCTTTCCCACCAGAGGGCTAAAGCCATGTGTTGTAAAACAATATGAAACAGTAGTCTGCCACTGAACGCCGGATGTAAAGCATCGGCTTTGAGGAAGATAGTTTTGTATTTTTAATTCTCTGAAGGGTGCCACCTTAATAATATGGAATTTGTAAGATAAATGTATATATTTTTGATTATTGATGAAGCCCATCATTTTGTGTTTNTATCTTTGGCTAGAGGACTTCGAAAACACAGTTAATTTAAGACAAATATTATGCCGGAAATTAGGAAGTTCCACAGTTATTAAAAGAAATAGAAAACTAATGAAACGCAAACTTTTGGAAATGAATGACCATATTATATTCGATCAAAACTGCGAAGAAAACAACCTTAACCTTTGAGTGAGAGCAAATATTTTTCTAAGAATGATATAAAGATGGGTTAAAAACTAATTACAAAATAAAAATAATGCAAATAAGTTATAAAAGCCGAAAGAAAATTCTTTCCATTCAAAACGCTTGACAATAACGATCGAAAAGTTGTTACTTATGATCTATGTTTCAGAATGTTTTCGTCACCGATAAGGAATTATTTCATGTTTACTGGCCTTCCAGTTTATTGTGAAGATCAAACTAAATTTGGCTTCGTATGCTGGTATTGTTGGAGGGTACTGTTGGTTGTACGATATAATACTGAATTAATGTACGTATCATACAGAATGATAAATAAGTTTATAATTTACGAACTGTATGGTTTGATGGATGTTATTGTCAGTGCTTTTATTTTTGATGCATTGATCGGTAAACATAAAAGGGTAATGAGTTTACAAAAGGTAATAACGGATAATATGAAGAACGGCTTCTGCAAAGTAAAAGCTGCAGACCTGCGCCGTGCCACAGTTATGAAAATTGTGTTTTTCATCAGCATTATCTCCTGCGTAGTCAGTCTACTGAGCGTTTTTCAAGCGTCAGAATTCAATGACTTGGACTTCATTTCTGAATCCTTTGACGTAAACTTAAGCTACACGTTGTTTATATCTTTATCGAACTGGTTGACAACAGCGAGCAGCTCAATGTTTTATTGTGCATTCTGCGTTCATCTGAAATCTTTGTTCTACTCGATTAATGAAAGAGCTCAAAAGTTGGTTAAGGATATTGACTTTTTACGTAATCGCTACAAGCGGCAATGCAATAAAAGGTTACAAGAGCAAAGGAAAGCGACATTAATGCTACCAACGCCTAATGAAAGAGCATTTCACGATGCATTTTTGAAAAACGAGATGTTTGCAAATAAATGCCCACTTTGTGATAAACTCCCTAATTTTGAAGAAAATTATTCGGATACCTCCTCTTTAAAAAGCACAAAGCATGATCATCGTAGTTCAATTACTTCTGCGATAAGTTCGAGGAAACTGTCTACCAGCGAAGGAAATCCTATTGACTACCTACCCACAGATGCCGAAGACAAAAAACTTAACGCTAGAATCGACTATGAGATGTCTGTGAAAGTGCAGGATGTGAACAGAAGGTTTATAAAAGTTGCTGATTTGGTGAAAGAAGCGGATAACATATTTTCCTTGCAATTTCTAGTGATTCTGACCATTACCTTCGTTCACTCTTGCTTTTACATACTGATTCATATCAGCACTGCAGGAGAAAGGAAAAGTCCCATAAAAGCAATGGTCAATATTGCTGTTCAGATAATCTTAGATTTATTGGCATTCGGATCTGTCGCTTTTGAGGCGTCACTGTTGGCTGAAGAGGCTATTAAATTGGCGCCACTTATTGCACGAGCAAGGAAAATGTTTGGAAATGAAGACTTACAGACTCACGTTCAAAGTGAAGTAACAATGATGGCTGTGTATTCCTTTGATGTACAGCTTACGGCGTGGAAGATTTTTACAGTGTCTCGGAGATTCGTGCCGACTGTAATTGGTTTTACAATCACCTACATATTAATAATATTGCAAATTTATCAGGTAATTGTTAAAAGTAAGTGCGTAAACAAAACAATAGAGGATTTTTAATTTGCATATTGTATTGGTCAGGACCTTGTACCTCTGGGTTGGGTTGAGATTTTATGATAAATATATTCAACTTTTAATTGAATTTAATTTTAAAAGTTTTATAAAGGGTAAACTATCTGCTTTATAAAAGAGTATACAGTCTCAAATAATTCATTTTATTTATAATCAAGAAAATTTCTAATGATATTAGATGGAAATTCTATAAAATATTTGAAAAATAATTTTAAAATAATGTGTAACTTTGAATTAAAAATATTCATGCACTACTTAGTATTTTCTAGATAGTTTAAAGCGAAAGATGATAAATCTTTATTTGTTTATGTTAACAATATGATATTCACAAATTTATTAATACATTGTAATGAACATGCCGTAACATGAATTTTAGTAATGTATTGCAGCCTCGCAAGAACAGATGTCATAACTGAAAAATTTTGCTTTTTGTATTAAAAATTTCATTATTTTATAGAAAAAAAATAAGCACCAGGGATAACGTAGGCTGTTTTATTTAAATCCCTGGATACTTAGATAAAGTAGCGAAATACTCCACGTTGGGGACATCATATTTCAATGCAGAAATGCTGAGTTTCCATTCTTAAAAGCGATTTTTTTATTGATTAATATTTTCATATTAAAATTTTCATGGTAAAGTAATATTTCATATTAAGCTGAAATATTTACTACTTTTTCTTTTTATTCTTCTTTCTTCTTTCTGAAATTATACAATTTGTTTTTGTTCCATTCAGGAAAAATAATACCTTATCTATAAGTTAAAATTTTCTTATTACGTCTTTCATAATAAGCTGTAACGTTTTTTCAAACTCTTTTAGATTTCTTGCAGTTGGTTTTTTATGAGGTTCAAAGGGATCAATATAGTTAGATAAAAATTATATGAGGTTTTTTAAATGAGATTAAAATAACATGAGATCTTCTAGATACCTTAAAATTAAGGTATGTGATAAAACAGTCAATAATTAGTAAATAGGAGCTTTGTCACATTTTTTAACAACAGAGATGAGTTCTGATTTGTTCAAAAATTAATAAATATTTCTTTGAGAATTCTTATTTAAAATCTGAATATAGAATATAACAAATTTACTTTGCACTATCACAAAATTTTACTATAATGTATGAAACATTTAAGGTAATAAAAAATAAAGAAACTAAGAGCTCAAAGAGGAATTAGATCATCGTATTATAACGTAGAAATTTCAAATTTATTCATTTGAAAAATATTTAATATGTTGAGCTAGTTTACTTTTAATTTTGGTGACAAAACACTCAAATATTTAACTGCTATTAAAATCTATTTTTAAAGCTTTCGACCAAAAAAAAATTTCTTAAGTTGAAAACAATATTTGTAATTTATTTTCATTTCTTTCAGGTGAATATATATAATGCAATTGAATTTGTCAGACCTTTAATTGTAAAAAAATTAATATCATGTAAAATTTGTAACAAATGAATAAATAAATCAATTTCAAACTTACCAGACACAATCTGCTGTTTTCGTTTGGATTCCAATTGTCTCTGCCATTTCTATGCAGCCATATTTTCCATCGCTTTTTATTGCTATCTCTAACAGGTGAACAATACAATTTAAAGCCTAAATTTAACTTACTTGAGCACCCAAATGCGCACCAAACAGTCATTATAAATTTAAAAGTATGAAACAAAAAAGTAAAAAGAAAAGTGAAAATAAAAATAACTGATCAGACGCAATGATATAGTCTGTCTAAGCTAAGAACTCCTCCCGCCACAAAGTCTGAGACCGTTTGGTGCAATGAAAACAAGAATGTCGCTTTTTAGGGAGGGTAGCTTAACTCTAGGACTAACACAGTAGACTGAAAAAAGAGATTCTCTTTCTCCGGTCGACCCGAGCCGAAACCACTCCAAAACAGTGACCCCGCACCCCTACTTGAAATAGTCATACTTCGTTACCATGGTCACCGCCATAGATCCAGACGAATGTCTGGAGGTGTTCTTATTTTAGACAAACAGTACTTCACCGTTTAAATTATTCAACAAAATGGCGACAGTTTACCCATGTGATCGGTGACAGACAATCGAAAACGAAAGCGGCACAAAGGTCGCAAGGAAAAGAACTATTTTATCTAAGTAATCCCGGGCTTTAGTTTTAACTACATTTGTTAAATTTTCCTTCGAATGCATCATGATGACATCACCATACATCAATAGCTATTGTGTTCATTTTTTGTTGCTTTTTTTGGAAGATTCGAATGTTTTGAATTACGACTCTTATTGTCGAAGCAGATATAAAGTATCCCCTCAACAATATGATACGATAGGTAATGAGTACACTGGTGAATAATTAGTTGTTCCGTATCGCTGGTTTCAAATCTTCAATTGATTTCTCTGTCAAAGCTTCATTTTTTATTGACATTTTTAGTCTATTTTTTTGACGAAATGTACAAACTTTAAAACGTTGTATCTAACAGAGCATTGCTTAAATGTTGCAAAAAACTTTTGGGGAATTTAGGCTCATCAACAGAATTAAAATTGCATGAGAACCCAAGCCTGGGAAAGTCGTCATACGCCGTAAGGAGCACTTTCTATTATGAACTGTTTCTTTGTATGCATCTGAAGAGATAATAATAGGGAAGATCACCTAACCGCAAACGACGACATTTCCGTGCATGGGTTCCTATGAAATTTTAATCCTGATGATGAATCGTAACTCGCAACATTTACTTCACCCCTTATTATACAAATCGTTTTTAAGCTTGTACATTTCAACAAAAATGGAATAAAAATGTCTCTTAAATGAGTAGCTTTAAGCGCAAAACTAATTTCTGATTGAACTTCCTACACCCAAATTAGGAAAGATAATGTATTTGTATAAATAAAACAAAAAAATTATTTTCTAGTGATATTTCTCAATATCACTTGACAAAGGAACAAAAAATTGGTTCTCCAGTGATGTATATCAATATACCAAAGTGTTTTTTAAAAAAATTATATTTGTTCAAAATTATATCGGTATTTGAGTAGTTATGTTTCTTTTTCATTTGACTTGATGAATTTGGTCTTGACTTGATGAATTAGAACTTATTATAAAACTATAATTAAATATTTTTCTCTCACACTAAACGCAATATTTTATTACATTCTTAATTCTAATTTCAATAACAAAACAAAGAAATAATTTATTGAATGATAAATTATAAAACAATGTTATATACAAAAATAAGCATGTCATAATTTGCTAATGATGTGCACAACTTTGTTCGAAAATTCTTTGGGGTATTCCATGTGAATATAATGGGTAGCATTTTCAAATTCAAAGAACTCTGCTCTTGGGAAGTACTTTTTTATGTGTTCTTTTTCATTTCCTCTGAAAAAAATATAACCTTAATTACTAACAAGATAAGAATACTCTATTAATTCATCTAATTAACTCATAAATGTCAGATTTTATTTACTCTTCCTATTTGCATAGATATTTGCAGTTTATCTACGGTACGAACTCCCCCCGCCACAAAGTCTGAGGCCGTCTGCTACTATGGAAACAAGAATAGCGCCTTTCAGGGAGGGTAGCTTCTCCTCTCTCAAGGGCTAACACAATCTGGAAAAAGAGATTACCTTTGCCGAACCGAGCTAAAACTTGTCCTAAACATTGATCCCACACCCCTACTTGAAATAGTTATACCTCGTTACCATAGTCACCGCCACGATTCCAAACGAATGGCTAGGAGAGTTCTTACTTTAGACAAACTATAATTGTATTTTTATTAAACTTTGCAATACTATTCTCAATTTTTAGTCACTATTATTTTAAAATTTTATATCAGTGTATAAAACACTAAAATTTTTTACTGAAATGACAAAAGAAAGAATTATGATTTTTATTTTCAAAACTAAGACATTTTAATGCGATCTTACAGGTTTTCTTTTTAAATACTTTTTCAGTCTTCTAATAAACAGTCTATATTTAATAGGAATTCTTACTTTAAATAATTGGATGTTCACTGAATAATATGAGCAAGTTGCTTAAATATCTTACATTAAAAAATGCAACATTTTAATTTGCCATTTCAAGACACCTATTTAACCAATCCCAAAGAAAATAAATTATCAAAAATAATTTACTTAATGACTCAGACAGAAAAGTTAAACACATGCGATTAATTTTTTTTAAAACGCTCGTAAATTAAAATAAAATTGGCACAACAAAAATTTATTAAACTTTTTCTCTTCAAAAAACTCTTTTTCAGATTTTTACATTGTAAAGATCCTTTAAAGATCAAAATAGCAGAAGGAATGTTTAGGCGTTTAGTGTAAATTCTGCCAAAAATAACCAAATGAGGCAAATTTTATATAGTTTCAAGAAACGAGTTTCTTAATTTTTAAGTCTTTAATTTTTTTTCCTGTAATACAGTTTTTCCCATGTGGTTGCTAAGAAAAACAATTGGGTACTGTAGCGTATCAGATATATTAAAGAATTGTTCAGTTTTTTTATAAGAAACTTTTATTCACCAACAACACAAACAGTTACAAATATGAATTACCCGTAACGGGATAGTGAGAAGATCATAAAACAACAAGAAAAACCCGTATAAGGAACTCAAATTCCAAACAAAAATTATTCTAAAGAAAACCAACAACTCTGTCGTTCTAAAAATTGACTTCTAATTTTATCGTCTGCTTTTATTTTTTTAAATTTATCTCTTTATGTATGCTTATTTTACTTTATTTATGCTTTTGCCTGCCCGTAATTTTTATGCTTTTGCAAACCAACTATATTTTTTTATATTTTTAGACTTTATAACTCCTCTCTCTTTGGAAGAACTTTTCCATAGCTAATAAAGGAAAAGTTATTTATGAACTTATTTGTGTTTTTTTTTTTTTTAAACTTTAGGTTGAAACTAATACATTATGTTACAATCAAAACATTTCACTTTTAAAATTACATTTTCTAATTGGGTATACTATCGCCTACGTCACAGGTTGTGTTAATCCTACTAAATTTAACCAGTGAACGGCATTTTCTGCGAGCCTGACATCAAGCCACAAATAAACAAACGGAATGTTCGATCTTTTAAATAGCTGCTCGCCAGATTATATTGTATTAAATAGAAAAGTTCGCTTTGTAATAATTGATTTTGTTGTTTCATCTAAGTAACTCAATGTTTTTAGTAAACATATTTAAAACTCAGTTTATTAAAAATTAAATTTTTTTTTTCTCTTCTGACAACGTGAGACATCAAGCCAATTAAACTTAACGGACATCATTCCATAGAATCCATATTTTAAAAAAAAATCAATGTTTTCAAATCATATTAAATTAGCGCGTGTAAAATATTAAACAACAACCACTATCTTCCATTCATTTAGCATTGCACGATAGTATATGTTATTCCTACTAAAATTTTCGAAGTGGAAGTAGTTGTGCTTTTTTATATTATACCCAATTGTCAAATTAATAGACAATTCACTTGTAACTCAATTTAGATATCAAATTAAAATATTCAAAATAAAATTATAATTGAATATTATAATTTAACTTCACATAAAATAAATATAATTAAATATAACTATTTACATATGTACAACAATATCTAAAGAATGAAGCTAACCAGATTTTTTTTCTTTCAAAGTGCTTATTTTTATCTTGGTATTTCACTAGTTTTAAATCCAAATAATATACTTAACATTTTTAAACATCATATAATTAAATCCAAACTCAGTCTTATTAATATTTATAGACATAAAAAAATAACATAATTTAAGAACACTAGCACTTTTCTCTACAATCAAATTTGTTTAACACCCATGTTTCATTATTTTAAATAATTTCTCCAATTAAATTTTGGTTGGTTTAACTTCAATTATAAACTAATTTCTTTACGAGTTCGTTTTTCCCCCTTCAAATTAAGTCCTACATATGAATAAGTAAATAAGACTAAAATGTATCAACATCAATAAGAAAAACAAACATTATTTACAAATACCTTCCCATCAATTAACTTTTGTCTGATTAAAATCAAGAACTTAAAGATACTCTACTGAGACCATCTGCATTCTTGTTCCTAGTGCCAGCTCTATACACAATTTTAAAATCAAACGGTTGTAGTGCTAAAGCCCAACGCATAAATCTGGCCCTTGAACTAGCATTTGTTTCAAGCCAGGTTAGCGGTTGATGATCAGTCTGAATAGTAAACTTTTGCCCATCTAAATAATGTAAATAATTTTTGATAGCAAAAATTATACTGGCGCATTCCTTTTCCGCTGTGCAATATTTTTTTTCGGACTCATTAAACGTTTTACTCAGATATACTATGGGGTGTTCATGGCCTTCATTATCTAGTTGTGTTAATACCACACCCATACCAATTTCCGAAGCGTCTGTTTGTAAGATAAATTCTTTTTCATAGTTGGGAGAGAAGAGTAAGGGTTGGATCGTTAATTTTTGTTTTAGTTTCTTAAAGGCTTCTTCGCATTCGATAGTCCAGGTAATTTCTCCCTTCTTTGTTTTGCCTTTTAAAGTGTCTGTTAATGGCGCAACTAGAACAGAGAACATTGGTATATATCGACTGTAATAGCCTGCTAGTCCCAGAAATGCTCTAATCTCAGTTTTGGTCTTAGATACAGGGAATTCGGCAACTGCTCGTGTTTTTATATCAGAGAGTTTTCTATAGCCTTGTCCGACAATATATCCAAGATAAAGAACATGATCTTGTGCAAAACGGCATTTTGAAGGTTTCAATGCAAGTTCTGCTTCTTTAATACGCTGCAATACAGAATTAAGATGTTCTAAATGAAAATCCCAGGTATCTGAGAAAATTGCTATATCATCAAGGTATGGCACTGCAAATTCTTCTAAATCCTTTAGTAGTCATGCCATTAATTTGCTAAAGAAAATAGGGGGCACTCTTTAACCCAAATGGAAGTCGTAATGGTCTATAAGTTCCGAAACTGGTAACAAAAGTAGCTAATCTTTGAGCGTTTGGCTTAAGCTTAATTTGCCAATATCCCTTGGCGAAATCTAAAAGACTGATAAATTTCGCCATGGCTACCTCTACAACTCGGTCTTTTATGTTCGGAAGTGGGAAATATTGTGTTACAGTTATTTCGTTGAGACGACGGTAATCAATGCAGTGCCTTAGATTTTTATTTGGTGCTTCTACTAAGATCATAGGAGAAGTAAAATCACTCTCACCTAAATCAATAATTTTTAAGTCAAACATTTTCTGCACTTCAGTTCTTAAAATTTCTGTTTGTCTGGGTGAAGTTCGGTAAGGCTTGGAAATAATTGGCTTATTTATACTAAGTTGAATGTCATGCTTAATTAAGTTAGTTTTTCCTGGGTTATTTGAAAAACTTTTCGAATATCTTCTTAAAATATTCCTCAATTGGTTGATTTCATGTCCGTTAAGGAGATCTTCTAGGTGACTGTCTTGAATCATTTAAGATATATCAAATTCATTCGGAGTAATATACACTTGCGGAAAGTCAATATCTTGTTCTAAAGAAGATGTCGTCGAAGATCTTCATTTACATTTAAAGAATCTTAGAGAATCCGCATCATATTGGCGAACAGCTCACAATGAATTAATTGCATTTATTTGTTGCCTTGGTCCTCCAACTTGGTTTATTACTTTGAGCTGTAATGATTTGCATTGGTTGGATATGCGCAAAGCCCTATTAATTGCTGCAGATGGCAGACCCGATGAAGATACCAGCCAATTAATTATTGAAGAAGTGCATCATTTGATTGAATTGTATCCCGTTGTGTTGAACCGCCATTTTTCTCGTCGTGTCAATGCTTTTATGAAACAGATTAAACAAAAGATAATCTTCTTGGTGGAAAAGTCGTTGATTTCAGGTATCGAGTTGAATTTCAGAACCGAGGAAGCCCACATGTTCACCTTGTAGTATGGGCTGAAAATCCTCCATCTTTTGAAACACCAGAAGGACTTTCGCACATCGATCAAGTGATTTCATGCCACTTACCAAACGAAGATGAAGATGAAGATCTAAGAGCACTTGTCAAACGTAATCAAATTCATCGCCATACTCGTACATGCTACAAAACAATTCGGTTTGGAAACATGTCGATTTGCTTTTCCTCGCCAGCCATGTCGACAAACTCGGGTTGTGCCCTTCCCCCCAGTTCAAACAAGTTCATTCGAAATGGAGGACGATTTTGTACTCTAAAACGAAAATCCAATGAAAAATGGGTAAATAATTATAATCAGCAAATTCTTGAGTTTTGGAATGCCAATATGGGCATACAACCTTGCGGGTCAAATGAATCAATTATTCATGCAAGAGGGACTTCGCTCCCATTTTAAGTTTGAGAATAGGTTGAGGTCGTTTCGACCCCAAGGCCTC